CCGGACTTAGAGCTGTTTGAGAATTCAGTTTTGAAGATTACTAGGTGAAGTCCTAAAATCTGTGGTAAACAGAATTGTTATACTTCGTGCCAAACAGAGGGCATAGAAGTGTGATTTTTTTTAATTCCCTGCTAATTTAAATGAAGAAATAATTCTGATAACCAGGAGCTGGCAGTGTTTATACTCAGTAGGCGCTCTGAGAGCTACCTGCTACCTTGGAAACGTATGTGGGAAAGTGATTTACTCACCACAGGGGTACACTCTTTGTGGACAGCTATAAAATAACATGTAATAGACTGTTTAGTTTAAATTATTTTGCTGGTTTAAAGAAATCATGGTCTCTATGAAGCTTGTAAAATATATCACCTCTGTAGTACTAGAAATTGCTACTATAAGAACACATGAATCACAAAAAACCATAATGATCATGCTACATGTATGCTAGCATATTATGACATAAAATAGGAATTAGCACGTCAATTCCAACAACATGCATTGTGTTCAGAGTAAAGTTTACAAAGTACAAACATTTTTTTAGCCTTACGTGACCCTAAAACTGCCGGCATACATAAACAGAAGTTGCTACCTGTTTTTTGTTATCTAGACATTGTCTTTAAAAATAGGCCCTGAAATAGGGCAACAGTCCCAAGCAACAACTTGGTATTCTAAAAGGGTGCCAGTTAATAAAAGTAAAAATATCTGGTTTCTAAAAATATATGTAAATATAATGCAAAATGTATTACATATACATATGTATACTGTGTGTTTGTATATACATTTATGTTTGTATATACTTTTATATTCAAGTCTTAGGAGGAGCAGCTGAGGGAACTGGGGTTGTTTAGCCTGGAGAAAACAAGGCTCAGGGGATACCATATCACTCTCCATAACTACCCGAAAGGAGGATGCAGTGAGGTGGAGGTCAGCCTCTTCTCCCAAGTAATAAGCAGGAGGATGAAAGGAAACAGCCTCAAGTTGTGCCAGGAGAGGTTTAGACTGGATATTAGGAAAAATTTCTTCACCAGAAGGCTTGTCAAGCATTGGAGTAGGCTGCCTGAAGTGGTTGAGTCACCATCCCTGCAGGTATTTAATAGATGTGTAGATGTGTACTAGGGGATGTGGTTTAGTGGTGGACTTGGGAGTGCTTGGTTAACAGCTCAACTTGATCTTAAAGCTCATTTCCAACCTAAATGATTCTATGAGTTTATACATATAAATATATATGTGTGTATATATATATGCATACATATTTATAATATATAAAATAAAAGCCCAAACCAACCAACAACATGCACACAAAATGAACATGTCCATCCCACCTTGTCCTGGGTTCAGCAGTAGCAGTCATTTTTCTGGTGCATTTTTGCTGGTGCAGTGCTGTGTTGACTTTCAGCCTGGGAACAGCGCTGATAACACCGATGCTTTTAGTTACTGCTCAGTAATGTTTACTCTGACCAAGGACTTTGAGTCTCATGCTCTGCCAGGGAGGAGGGGAAGCTGGGAGGAAGCAGAGACAGGACACCTGACCCAAACTAACCAAAGAGGTATTCCATACCACAGCACGTCATGCCCAGTATATAAACTGGGGGCAGTTACCCGGAAGGGTGGGATCACTGCTCAGGTCAGTGTGCGTATCGGTTGGCGGGTGGTGAGTGGTTGTATTCTCTTCCCTTGTTATTTCCCTTACCATTATTATTATTATTGGTGGTAGCAGCAGTGGTTTGTTTTATAGCTTAGTTACTGGACTGCTCTTAACCTATGGGAGTTATAGCCTTTCAAATCTCCTCCCCATCCCTCCGGGAGCGGGGGGAAGGAAGTTTGGGGGTGGGGAGGGGGGAGTGAGCTGCGTGGCTGCGTTGCCGACTGGGCTTAAACCACGACACACCTCAAAACCCCCACAACACTATTTAAATATTCTCTTTATTAGAAAACTTTGCTACTTCTTGGGCAGGCAAAAACTCTTCTACCTTACTCACAGGGAAGCATGGGAGGGGACCTATACGAATAGACAGGAATAGAAGGATAACCTATACAGCAGGTATTCACATTTCATTGCAAAATAAGAATGTCAGTCATTACCACCTTGTTACCTCCTCACTTCTTGATTCTCCCCACTGACCATGCTCTACTTGAGAGCTCTCTATTGCTTCCCCTCATTCTCCCTCTCCCTTTTTTCTCCTTGGAACTTTTCTGTCTGCTGCTTCTCTTTGACTTCAGTTTTCCTTCAAGGATTCAGAATGGTAGCAGTGAACTTTTAACCACTGACAATTCAAATAGGATTAGAATGATGTCAAAGGAGTTCACACCTCTCTGCCAGTATGTGTTTATAGAAAATGACTTGATTTCTGGCTTCTCAAAATGTAAATGCTTGTTACAGAGGGAGAAATATGTCATAAAAAGGAGATACTAAAGAAAGCAAGAGGCTTTATCCTCTCTTCCCTTACTTCTCATTCAGTTCACAGAAGGTGCCACATTTCATTTCACTCTAAAACCTGCTCATGCTTTGGTTTAAAAAGATCTGGAATATGAAATCTTTTGTGTCCTGTCCTCTTTGGGTCACCCATGAGTGATCTTGGATTTTCACAGATGTTATCTGTGGAATAACTAAGGAATACCGAGCACTGTATATTAAACTAGCTTTCGTGTCAAAATAGGAAAAAAAGAAATCCAAACTAAAAATTTGCCAGATTTCCCCCCTTCCCCAATCGCTCTATTAAGTCAAAAGCAATGGTTGCCTGCCTCGTAATATGTCTTATGCCATTCATTATCAGTTGTATATAGACTTTTCCAAACAAATTAAATAGGACCATGAGAAGCAAACAACGTGAAATGTACATATGTAATCTTTCTATACATACAATTGCATTAAGGGATGAAAGAGAAAATCACATTTCTCTGTGCAAAATTATGAAGTTACCCAATATGCTGATTTAAGACTGTGTTATTGTCACCACCATATTCAGGTATCATTAACAACCACATTTTCAGGCAAGTGTGAGATTTTTAAGGAAATGCCAACAAAAACATAATCTTTCCTTGTTGTCAAGATGTGAGTATGTTCAAGTTCTATTTCAAAGGTTTTGATTGCCTTTTCCACAGCTTGACATTACCTTGCTCTTTTCCTCATAAATTTATTTTCTCACGTAGACACTATAAAACATAGCCATATCAGTAACATTACCCAAAAGATCAGTTTATATTTACTTAATTCACATGTAACAGAATATCGATGAATATTCAGGCCACTTATTTCCCTGAATAATGAATTATTTATCCATTCACATACATAACACTGCATTAATCATGGCTAGACCTGTTTTTGCAGTGTAGAGTGATTTTTTCCCAACTCTTACAAGTTTCATAAATATATTTAATTGGTATAATTTAATTCAGAGAGTTACAACTTATAACACAGAAATTCAGCTCTACTTTAGTAATTATGGAATAGCATGTAGACCGCTTCTGATCTTTTTATGGTATAAGTGCACTTACTCATAATTCAGCAAAAAACTATTCAAATGAGGGATATGCTTTTTCTGTTGCTGACCTAAACAGATTTTAAGCATTTTCTGGTAAGAACTTAAAGGATGAAAACAAAGGGAAAAAAGTCTAAAACAGGAAGAAGAAGCCAAAAGGACAAATTTTTTTGCCTACTGACATGAAGTCCACACAGTGCATTATTTGGCAATGACAACTAGTAATGAAGAATGAGTAGAAATACAGTGAATAACAAACACGGAAAATGGAGAACAAAGATGTGAAGAACTTCCAAATCAAGCACTCTAGGTAACTTCTTGTAAATCACGATTTGAAAGTTCCAAATAGTTGCCAGCACTTTCTGCCTTAATAACTAGCAGACACTTGTGGAAGTAACACTGTTCTAATTCAGCACCAGAAAAAAAAAACATTAATTTGTTCTGTTGACACCTCTGGCACAACCCTGGCATAACACAGAGTTAACTGATTGCACATGCCCTATTTCGCCTGGTTTCTTAGTAAGGAAACTACAAGAGAAGCAACAGTCTCTTTGGCATATGCAGTTTTAGAGTGTGCTCTGTGTATGAATCACGGCACAAGTCTGAACAATAACAGCTGGTGCAAATGTATAAACAAGGGCAGGCAGAACTAAATTGTTCAGGTTTAAAATTCAGGAGAAATATCAATGCTGTTGCTTTCATCCTCATTTTTCAGAAACTTTTCTTTACCAAACTAATTCTCAGAAGTTCATGAAAGATTTATTTTAGCATCTTAAAGGGAGCGCAAACATTAACAATATACTGACTATTAAAATTTCTCAAGCATTTCCTCATTTGTATTATTCAATAGATGTTTTACAGGTTCTACATTACATTTTTCCTCCTATCACTTGGAAGACAGCATCTTTTCTTAAATAAGTTTATTCAGCATGTCAGCTATTTTAAATTGACGAATTTCATCCACTCTTCATTAATTCATGTAGCTATTTTCTCCTTCTATTTCTCACCCCCCCCCCCCCCCCCAGTCCACTTATAAGAGCTTTTATTCTCATACTGCCAACTGGGAAAGCCTTTAATGAGGTGAAAGCTATAGTAAGAGGTCTCCTGGTTTGTATCAGTGTCTGCTAAAATGTCCTTTGTTTGATAAGTACAAGAATAGACCTAAAGATCAACGACCTGAATCTCTGGCACTAAACTTTCAGATTTTACAAAATCCAGTACCATTTGCTAGCCCTGAATGATGCTGCAGCTTTCGCTCTGAGAAATACACAGTTGGTATACAGGATTTTAGATAAAACAGGTCAGACAGATGTTCTTCAAATATTCACCAGAGAGACCCTGTAACTGAATAACCTGCAAGAGTCATCACTGGATTTCCTGATGCTACTGGTCTCTAGTCTAGTCTAGCCCAGTACTGCAGCACCACAAAGTCAATCTGAAGGAAAAACTTATTTGAGAGGAACAACCTGCATAAGCAAATTCAGTTTTCTTTCTTAATAAATCTAATGATTTGTTCTATCTGACCTTTTGCTTTTGTTGCTTTGGTTTTCTTTTAAGTGCGTTCCCCCATCACCAAGTCTTCTGCACCCTGAAATAACAAACAGCATAAATTAATCTAGAGTTAAAAAGTTGTATGAAACAGGTTACCTAAGGAGCATTTCTGTTTGCTATTTAACTTATTTCCCATAATGTCCTAGCAGCAGAAAAATCTTGATTTTCTAGTAGCCTCTACTTCTTTGATAGCTCTAACTCCAGCTGAGTCATCTCTGCTCTGATGGTACCTGAATTCTTAGCAAGCATCCTAAGAGTCATCCTGCAATTATCTCATAAAGATTAAATTACTAACACTAATGAAATAATAATTAAAATCACTTCTGTTAGACTTGAAAATAGAAGAAAAACCTCTGTGGATGGCAAAAAAAAAGCCAGCTGGTCAATGAAATCTTGTAAACCCTATTTTACATATTATTCTAGCAGAGGAAAATCAGTCTAACACTGGTTACATATTACAAATGAGCGTTGGGTTTTTTTTAAACATAATTTCTGTGTTGATCATAATCACTGTCACGCTAACGAAGCTGCTACATACAGTTTATTTGCATTGTAAGCTTCACAGCATAATGGGCAAATAATGATGGGCTTTTATTATTTCATTTATAAAAAGGTAAGTTGAACAATTTTTACAAGGTATGTGCAATAGTAAGAGAGAAATTATGGGCAGATACCCCATATAAACTCTTCAGGATTCTAAATGAAAACTAAAACTGTGATAGGAAAACAACATTTTGAAAAAATAGCCTTTGCCTTCTCTTTTTTGAGCATCAGCTATTCAAAGACAGAAAAGGGGATTTTCAGTAATGAAAGTAGAAAATATATTGTGCCTAACATGACCTACTCTTTGCACTAAAAAAAAAAAATCAATAAAATTAAGAAGCCTCATAAATCTCATTATTGATTTTTAAATAATTGTATTAATAGCTCTATAAAATGCGTAGTGAAAATTTTCTTTAAACCGCATCCAGCATAGTTTAGTCACAGGGCTCACTTTTAGCTTCATCTGAAACATGGGACCAGTATTTCATTTCTATTACAGTAGTTTCAAATAGAGGCAAACAGGGATGCTTAGAGATTTAACTTGAATGTTATTAAAATACATTATTACTAGTGACTGAGAAGTTATGTTCTTTCTAGAGATGTGAGCCTCAAACTTTCATGCCTGACCTAATACTATTTCATGGAATGAATCTTAAAAACAAAGAAACCATTTTTGTATATTTGCTGCTCATGCTAGTAATCTCAAGAGTTCTCATTAAAAGAAAATTACATTCATGCGATCAAGAAAGCTTTTGTCATCCTGCAGATGAAGTAAGTCTGTGTGGAGTCATGAACTAATTTGAAATTATTTGAAAAAGCAGCTAAAAGAAAAGGGGGGTTTCTTCTGATGAGAAAAGAAAAAAGAGGAATATGACTGAGGAAAACTGATTATTCGTGTGAATAGATAGTTTCTATGAAAAAAACTACAGCTATCAAAAAGTTCCAGACTGGCATTTATGGTCCATAGGTGCCTGAAGCAGAACTAGTCCTCTTGCTGCATGGTATTCATCTGGCACACCTGCAGCTAGCTCTCACAGCAGTCACTTCAATGCTTCCAGATGCAGTGAGGTCCTCTTAATCTGCACACCTGCATGGAAATCTGCATTTTTTTTCTATTATTAAAAGCAGGTTGTCATATCATGAGGTGGTGTAGAGTCAAGCTGATTTCCTGAACTATTTAGAAGTTAACTACAGTTAGTAATATATACAAATGCATAATTGTATACATAATTTTGTTTATGTATATATGCTTGGAAATAGATACTTTTTAATATATACACATGATTTACATATGTGTATGTCCTGGGTTTAGCAGTAGCAGTCAATTTTTTCTCCTTCTTGGTAGCTGGTGCAAAAAAAACCAAAACAGATGAGACTCCGGCATAGGATAACTCATTCTTCATATATATGGCTGGCATATACAGCCATAACTGTACCTACTTGTACCTACCTGTTGATCAAGGTCATTAAGAAACTGTTTAAGACTCTGAACTGCTGGTGAAATCCGTTACACACTTGTTATTTCAAGTTAAAGGGCAGAGAGAGGAGATGTTTTTGTGACTAGTTGGTTTTAATATTGTCGCACTTCTAAAAACCAAATCCTTCCAACTGTATTACAAGCTATTACTTGTCAGCAAAAAGTAGTTTTAAATGGTACATCAAACCCCAAACTGGTGTCTTCTCAAACAAGCCGTAATTTTATATAATGAAGAAGTAGCTAACAATTCATTTCTCAACACCTTATTTGCAGGAAGAATAGATTAGTTACTGTCTCCTGTATGGACACTTGCTGCAAATGTATGTGAAGTACATCCTAAATCAGTGATAATACTGCTACCTTCCCAGAAGGCTTTGCAGAGATTTATTTTACCATTACCTGTTAAACGTTAAGCATTCCTTCAGCATGTGTATTTCACTGACACTGTTTAAATCTGTGCTTCTTACGGAAAGCTGCATATTAGCATCAGACATTTAATTCTTTCACTCTTTCAGATCATTCTGTGCATCTATTCCTATAAGATATTCAAGACAAATCCTGTAACTCGTAAGGTAACTTTTAAGAAAAAACATCTATAGTCTTTAATCCACAAGAACTGCAGAGACAAACCTTGCATTTGATAACTGAATGCTTCCAAAACTGAAAGCACTATGGCATGCCCATTTTGCTTATCTCCTCTAAGTTATACATTTGTAAACATTTCATTATTTCTTACCATTATTTCTAGTGTACTTACTACAGTTGATGCCAGTTGGTTTCAAGAACAATAAAAAGTCTCAGGGTTGTAGGGAGTAATAGCAGTAGTTTAGGAGGTGATACTCCTCACTGGCTCTATGCTCAGCTAGGGTCTTTGCTCCTCAGGGGACAGTGGGTTCTCACAGGTGCATGTTCCTAAATACAAAATTAGTGTCTTGTCTACTTCACACGAAACATGCAGCTGCTGTAACAGATGGTGACCTAGTAAAAAGGTTACGAGAAAAAATCCAAAATAAGGATGTTGGTTGCAAAATACAATATTCGAGCCAGCAGAAGGTGGAACTGCCTTGCAAGGGCAGTTCTGAGTTTGCGTAATTATTAATAATCAGAAATACCAGCAGAAGTCAAAGCAAATGAAAATTTAATGTTTCCAAGTACAGCAAAATTAAAGCTCTGCATATTTAAGGTTATTTTTAGAAAACATCAGTGCCTAATCTAGATTGTGATGTAGCCAGTTCACTTCCATCTAACAAGGATATCACTAAGAAAACATTTTTTTTCCTCCCCTTTCTTTTATCCAGTACATGGCATCTGCTGATTCATTACATGTAGATAGGAAGATGAGGTCCCCATCAATACAATGACTGGAGGCAGCAGACATACCAAACAAATAGATGTAGACTGAAGAACAAGCTAACTCTGACAGAAAACAACGCAGTTCTGCAAAAACAAGCAGTACTGCAACCTGCAAATCTTATGAGCCCGTATGTATTCTTGGTTTTCATTTGTGGTATCTCTCCCCTTCATGGACTCCCTAGCAGGACAGTTAAATTCATCCTGCATCTTTTCACCCAGTGGTGATCCTAACTGCCATCTTTCTTTTTTACCAAAATGCTTCTCCCCTTGAAATGTGAGGTCTAGTAATGTTTGCTGCCATGCTTGTCATGGCTCTCCTCCTCCCTTTTGGTTCAGTTGAAATTGAAAAGATCAAAAGACAAGGTCAACTGAAGACAAATTCTCCTTTTCTACCACAATTTTTAATGCCAATAGCATTTAAAAATACTGTAATGTGCGCTAGGACAGATGGTATTATCTGTGTGCCTTGTCGTGCCAGCAATGGTAAAGCTAACAAAAAAAGAACGCAAATTGACTTAACAAATTTTTGGTGCCATCTATATGTTTAATTTCTGTAATGTTTTCTTTTTCACATGACTCACTGAAAACAGCTGGAAAAATAAGGCCTGCTCTGCTTATCACTTAAGACTAACACAGTGGCGGAAAGGAGCTAAACCTGTGAGACAAGATTAGTGTTAGTCAGACATGCAGTGGTTGTCCAGGGGTTATTCTCAGGTGTTGCTTCCTGGCCTAGCTCTCCTTTCTCTATGAGGAATGGGACACTTTGCTTTTTGCAAGTTCTAAAGCTTATTTCAGTGATCAATGAATAAGCTCCTCCTTATTTCAGAGAAATTAAAGACTTACTTTAGGCAATAACCTCTGAAATCACAGACTAAAAATTTCTGTAAATAAGAAAGAATCAGACATGCATTGTGTGCAGCCTGGATCTGTAAGTGCTTGGGTTATGGGTGCCAGGAGCAGAAAAAAGAATTATACAGACCAGGCCAGTTCAGGTCCAGTAAGGTGATGCCAGTTCTGGAGTGCTGCCAGAATGTGGTTCTGGAGAAACCAAATAGGACACAAATTGTATGGTAATGTGCTAAAGTGAAGCCAATCTGGGCATGCCTGCCATGCCCCGCCACCAATTCTGGTTCCACAATGTCTCACTGTGCCAGGCAGACCCAGACGCGACACCTGAACTGGCTCCACGTGTTTGCATAGCACACACACTGAGCAGTTCTGGGAGAACCAGTCAAAAGAGGCACACCAAGCTTCAAAAGCAATGGAATGAAACTCTTCCTCAGTATGGGAAAGAGAGCTTCTTCCAGTCTGTTTTGATTGCAGATTATGGAGCGTTGACTTGATTTTAATGCTTAAAAAAATATTTTTTTTTCCTTTTACTGGAAACATCATAAATAATATTATATTGAACAGTATTTAGCATTTGGATGTGTGAGCCCGGCCAGTTCTAAAATGAGATACGTACCGCACAATGAATGTTCAGAACTTTTCCAAAAGTTTCCATAAAAGGCAATTTAATAATGTAGACATCTGTGACTTTCTTTGAGAAATCAGATTTTCTTTGAAAATGATACTGTCTGTCTCTGTGCACCTGAGAAGCACTTTAGACAAATGTTCTCTTCTATTCTTCTTTCTTTAGATTTACATACGCTTTACAGGAACGT